AAAAACACACATACGCGTTGTCAAAATGGAATCAAAGGTTAATAATATAAAAATAATAATAAAAGTTTGAATACTTTTACTTCCCGAGCGTCAGCTACGGCGACTGACTATTTTCATGTTTTCTCGACGTTCATGATCTCTAGAGTAAAAAAAGTGGTATCCCGTTTCCGTTTGTCTGTCATCTGTTGTCTGTCTGCCGTTTGTTGTTTGTGTAGATTTTTATTATACAATCTTCGAAATTACTAGACCCAAAATTTGTCTAACTGCACCCACCCACAACCTGATGACGACTATGTGTATGTTAGGGTACGTAAATTTCATGCAATGTGTTTGTGATTTATGAATATGCCTTGAATTTATTTTTTGTTATAATATTTTTTTATTGTTTAATCCGTCATGTTGTTTAGACACGTAATATTCCATGTATAATGGTGGTCCAGAAATAACGCGTCAGCTTATTAGCCTTCAACAATTTTTTTATTATTTATTGAACAAATCAAATCAAAAACGCTTCATCCTATTTTCATAAAAAAATTTGAAAATCCAATAGTATTATTATTTGTAATTTACTACACCTATTCAAACACAAAATTTTGTTATGAAAAAGTTGAACACTCACTTAAAACATACCCATTAATTGCTTCTTTCCTGTAGTTTAATAGTCCACACAAGACTATTTTATTTTCATCATATTTGAGAAGCTTATCGTATTAGACAGAACTTTCCTTGTCCCTGAAGTATCATAAGCAAAGAATCGAGTTTTTATTAAAAAATACAGATAATACCAAGCACAATGTATATTAGGTATAAAAGCTTGTTATTTAATTTGTATTTTTTGCAAACATTTGAATGCGTAGGTTGAAAAACAAGACGTATAAGAGTATGTTATTTTATAAAATTTAAACAGCATTTATCATAGAAAACATTGAGGTGACGTCATCAAGTTATTAGTGGAGATGATTAGACAAATTTTTGTTAGCGTTTTATTATTTTCGCAATATCGCTAACATACATATAAAATTTGACATCAGCCCGGTATCTATCTAAGAAAAATAATATCACATGACCGATTTTACGCCAATCATTCGTTAAACACCTCGTAAAATTGAGAAAAGTTTCCTTAGCTTATGCTACTAAAGTAAAAAACAGATCAAGAGTGTCCAAGTTTTTTTGAAATTATTTTAAAAACAAAACACCTGGAATTTCCAAGGTTTTTTCAAATTCTTTCAAAAATAAAACGTAAGAAGAGGCAAGTATTCTATCAAACTCTTAAAAAGAATAATGGGTCCCCGATATGTTTCAAAATTTTAAAAGATAAAATATAAAAAGCCCCAAATATTCTTTCATAATGCTACAAAAAAGACACTAGGTACCCTCAAAAATCTTTAGAACACTTTCAAAAACAAAACATCAATGTGTTCTGATTTTTTTTTTAATCAAAATATTGGGGCCCCGAAGATTCTTTAACATTTTAAAATCAAAGCATTCTTTGAAGAATAAAACACAGGAAGTCCCGAAGATTATTTCCCATTCTTAAAAAAATTTCGTTCTGGTTAATAAAAATTTTGTTAAAATTCATAGTTTGTTGATGATAGTATTGTTTCCTATATATCTTTTTGTTTTTCATTTACATAACATATTACAATAATGAAATTCTGTAAACGCCACTGTTTTAGCTTATTGAAAAGAGTTTGTTTTGGTGTTAGTACAATGTGTCTTTAGTACGGTGGTTGCGATGCCAACTTATTTAAAATCTAATTACAGTGAGATTACGATTAGTGTGCATTTTAGTTTTCGAAAAATTTTATAAAAAATCCTAAATATCAAGGTTTAGCATACTATTTTTGCGACATATACTAACCAAGTGTTATAATCTAAATGTTAAAACTATCACTGTTCTAATCTGTAGATAATGATTTTAACCGAGGTAGCTTTTTTTCCACAATTTTCGAAATTTAACCAAAGCCATTTTCCATTTTCTTACAGATTTCGACCTCTAGGAGTTAGTTTCGGATTCATTTCTTCGATAGTTCCGACCATTTTTCCACAACCGTCCGCTAAAGTATTGCAATTTTTTGGAATTAAAAAAATATATATTTTCAAACCGAATATTTTTAAATCTTGTACTGGGAGCATAAATACGTTGTATTTTTGTAATCAGCGCGACAGAATCTATATCCCAGAATTTTTCGGGAATTTTTTATTTTTTTCAAAAGCAAACATTTTTCAATACCGCCCCCCATGAAAATGTCGGCCAATTTGTAGATTTCGTCCTCCAGAAGTTGGTTTCGGACTCACCTCCTCAATAGCTCCTACAATTTTTCGCTGTTTTTAGAATCAGCACGACGAAATGTCTTCCCCAGAAGTGAAATTTTTGGAACCTTTTTTTAAAGCAAAATTTTTCAATATAGCCACCTCCCTACGAAAATTTTTGTGTGAATTGGTATGTAGTAGAGTCCGTGAAATAGTGAACATGATTTTCTGTTCCCAAAACTTTTATGGAAGCATTCAATGAACTGCTTAGTATTGTGGTAATGATATAATTTACCCCTGACCTTCTCTCCGATTGCTTGCCTGAAAAGAATCAGATTCTTAGGACACCATTCTCATTCTAATTCTAAGAATTTCCTTAGAAAACCACAATCCTCAAATCCTCAGAACACCATAATCCTCAAACCCTCACACCACCATAATCCTCAAATCCTCAGAACGACATAATCCTCAAATCCTCAAAACACCATAATCCTCAAATCTTCAGAACACCATATTCCTCAAATCCTCAAACACCATAATCCTCAAATCTTCATAGTACCATAATCCTCAAATCCTCAGGATACCATAATTCTCAAATCCTCAAAACAGCATAATCCTCAAATCGTCAGAACACCATAATCCTCAAATCCTCAGAACAACATAATCTTCAAATCCTTAAACCACCATAATCCTCAAATCTGCAGAACACCATAACCTCAAATATTCAGAACACTATATTACTCGAATCCTCAGGACACCATAATCCTCAAATCCTCAAAATACCATAATCCTCAAATCCTCAGAGCACCATAATCCTTAAATCCTCAAGAGACCATAATACTCAAATCCTCAAAACAGCATAATCCTCAAATCCTCAGAACACCATAATCCTTAAATCTTCAGATCACATCATAATCCTCAAATCTTCAGAACACTATATTCCTGAAATCCTCAAAACACCATAATCCTCAAATCCTCGGAGCACCATAATACTCAAATCCTCAAGACACCTTAATCCTCAAATCCTCAAAACACCATAATCCTCAAATACTCAAAACACCATAATCCTTAAATCCTCAGAACACCATAATCCTCAAACCCTCACACCACCATAATCCTCAGATCAGCAGAGCACCATAATCCTCAAATCCTTAGAACACCACAATACTCAAATCCTCAGAACACCATAATATTCAAATCCTCAGAACATCAGAGTCCTCAAATCCTCAGAACATCATAATCCTCAAGTCCTCAAAATACCATAATCCTCAGATCCTTAGAACACCATAATTCTCAAATCCTCAGAACAACACAATTCTCAATTCCCCTGAACGCCATAGTCCTCAAATCCTTAGAACACCATAATCCTCAAATCTTCAGAACACCATATTCCTTAAATCCTCAGAACACCATAATCCTCAAATCCTCGGAGCACCATAATACTCAAATCCTCAAGACACCATAATTCTCAAATCCTCAAAACACCATAATCCTCAAATAATCAAAACACCATAATCCTTAAATCCTCAGAACACCATAATCCTTAAATCCTCAGGAGACCATAATACTCAAATCCTCAAAACAGCATAATCCTCAAATCCTCAGAACACCATAATCCTTAAATCTTCAGATCACATCATAATCCTCAAATCTTCAGAACACTATATTCCTCAAATCCTCAAAACACCATAATCCTCAAATCCTCGGAGCACCATAATACTCAAATCCTCAAGACACCTTAATCCTCAAATCCTCAAAACACCATAATCCTCAAATACTCAAAACACCATAATCCTTAAATCCTCGGAACACCATAATCCTCAAACCCTCACACCACCATAATCCTCAAATACTCAAAACACCATAATCCTTAAATCCTCAGAACACCATAATCCTCAGATCAGCAGAGCACCATAAATAATCCTCAAATCCTTAGAACACCACAATACTCAAATCCTCAGAACACCATAATATTCAAATCCTCAGAACACCAGAGTCCTCAAATCCTCAGAACACCTTAATCCTTAAATCCTCAGATCATAATCCTCAAGTCCTCAAAATACCATAATCCTCAGATCCTTCCCAGTAAACACAGTTACGTTGTAGCGATGTTAATGCCACTTAACTCTGTCTACGATCTTGTTAGCTGTTACATCCCAAACTGCGTACATTTGCTTTCCCTGTGCTATGTAATGTAATCAACAGTGACCCATGCTTGTAACATACTGGTAACATCCACATCGTTTCAGACTAGAGACGTGCTCGCGGTACATCATCATAACGTTGTGTTAGTATGTCGCTAGATTCTCTATATTTTTATGTATCTGTTACGTTTTATTTTAAACGCCAATATAACGTATTAAATGGACATAGACGTTACGTATATATCGCAACATCGTAAACATATGACTCTCAGTATATTTTATTAACATGATCTATGCGATATGAATAGGCATTTCAGAAAGTCTAGTTACCATTTAGGGATATGGATATGGAGAGTAAAATTTAGAGCTTACAGTAAATTATTATTTTATTCAATGTTTGAAAAAATATAATATGTAATAAGTAATAAAATACAAAAATTAATATAAATTCATAATATAAATAAATATATATATACATATATGATTTCCTAATTCGAAAATAATACAATATAATTTACACTTAAAAAAAGACACAGAAACTATAAACTGTCGTTGTTTTTTCTTTCTTCAGGCGTTGACCAGAATGTCGTAGCCAGTCTGAGCAGCGTTGTTCTACTTCTTTTTCTATTGCGGAATGGGTCTTCATTGTAATTTCTTCAAAAATAAAAATTGTAATAATTATATTTATTGCAAAAAAAATACCTTTCATAATATTCATTGTTTTTGTCCCAACCATTTTGGAATTTTCCTACCGAACAAACAAGCTACAGCAAATTCGCTGAATTTTTTTTTTTTTAATATACGCTCCACATTGTTCTTTTTCCCATTACCACCTATCTGGGACAATAGCAGTTCCTGAAATAAGAAAAGAAGAAAATATTTTTATGTGTATATATCGAGTAACTCTGAAATAAGTTCGGAAAATAAAACCACAAGTTCACGAAGTAGAGAAAATTTTAAGTAATTTCTTTTATCTAGTCCTAATTCAGGGGAAAAATATCAAGATCCACACCTCATTCAGTGTCATTTGTTTTCATCTAAGCAACACACAGCAAAAATAAAGAAAAAATTTAGTCACAATGGAAACTGAATAAATCATTGCCGCATCATTTACATTTAACAAGTTGTTCCGTATTTGTTTCTTGAAACTGGAGCAGCAGTTTAATTACTTTGAATCCGTGTGACAATTAAAGGATTTTTTTTTCCGAATCTATTTGGAAGTCACCGCGTATGTATAACATACAGGGTGCTTCACTATAAGACTTTTCTGCAACCCACTATGTATGTAACGTGTTAAGCGAAATGTGTCATGTTTAGTAGGTTCCTAAAAAGTGTTATAGTATTACAGGCATCTACCTGTATATAATATCCAAAATTATGTTATATGTAAGTACATATAAATATATTTAGTCCAGTCATTTTAGCATAAAAAAGGGATCAAACTGTGAATGAGAGACAATAAGCTGAATTTTTGTATACGCCTTAATTTTGGCGTTCTAAAAGTTGTCTCAAAAGTAATTAAATCTCGTGTCTGCGTCGTAAGTTATTCAAGGTCAAAGGTCAAGAAAAACAGTTTTTTGCAATTATCTCAGTTTCTATTGCTCCAATGATGTTAACAATTATTATCATAATTGTAGAGCACAAAATTTGGGACAAATTTTATTTGAAATATTTTTTCATGCGCTCAATCGTTTTGGAGATAGAGGACAGTGAGTGCGCAGCGCTCATCCATACGTACTGTAATGCAATCAACCGTGAATATCTGTCAATACTACCTTGAATTTTGAATAATTTGTATTATTAATCAATTAATACATTGTATTTAATAACATTTTACATATTTTCAATATATTCATAGAATAATACTTAACTGTTTTGTGTAATTAAAAACTCATTTAATGAAATATTTATTGTATATCTCAATTTATTTGTATCTTTAAAATGTGCAAGTTTTTAAATACTTATTTTCTTATCATGATTATAACGGGAAGGTCTGGAAACAACAATTCAGGGCACCGAAGATGACGACGATGAAACAGAAATTCCCGAACGTCCAGAAGATGACGGTGAAGAAGAAGAAAATTGATACTTTTGTTCTTTAAATTATTAAAAATATATAGATTTTCACTGCAAGATGAATCGTAAGAAATGTCTAACTGCTGAATAAAGATAAAATTAAAATATATGAACTCGTTTTACTTCCTTAAAATTTACTTTGAAAAAATTAATATAACTTTAAGATATATAATAATCTAACCTAAGATATACCTAGAATAAATATGTCATTTAAAGAGTTTTTAATTACACAAAGTAGGTAAGTATCATTAAATAAATGTATTGCAAATATGCAAAATGTTATTAAATGCAATGTATTAACTGATAAATAATAAAAATTTTTCAAAATTCAAGGTAGTATTCACAGATATTTTCACGGTTGATTGCATTACAGTATATATGGATGAACGCTGCGCGCCCACTGCCCGCTATCTCAAAAACGATTAAGTGTATCAAAAAATGTTTCAAATAAAATTTGTCCCAAATTTGTGCTCTACAATTATGATAATAGGTGTTAACATCATTAGAGCAATAGAAACCGAAATAATCGCAAAATAATGTTTTTCTTGACCTTTGACCTTGAATAACTTACGACGCAGGCACGAGATTTTATGAGACTTTTGAGACAACTTTTAGAACGCTAAAATGAAGGTATATACGAAAATTCAGCTTATTATCTCTCATTGCGAGGTTGATCGCTAATTTGACTGGACTAATTGTATTTTTTTAACTTACAAAGAAACCTGCTTGTTGTAGTAGGCAGAGATAATCTTCTAATTCCTCAAAATTTGTTTACCTGTGGTCTTGGCGGCATATCTTCTATTACTGTTTTCTTTTTGATTTGTCACATTTGATGACGTTTTCATATTGGAGATTTGTTCACTCGTTTCCTTTAGAATTTCTTTTGTTTCGCACATATTTTTTGTATTTGTTTCAAGTCTAGAGTAAAATTATGTTCATTAGCACCTAGTTCATAAAAAATTGCAGTAACATACCTTTGCAACATGTTGTGGCAAAGCGCCTCACTTTCAAAAACAATCACCGTAAGTTCTTCAAAATCAGCGGGAGTATCTTCAGTGATTAATGGTGGTATTTCCAGCTTGTCTGAAAAAACTGTTGTTGTTATTTATGTACAGTTATCAAAAACAACAGAAGCATGTAAAAATTAAAATGATTACTTCATTAGAATTATATTAACTTACCTAGTGTAAATTTAATCCACACTGAATGGCACAATTTTCACAAAACTGCATTAAAAATGAAGTGATTTACGGATTCACGAAAAAGGTTCGGTGGTTGTGAACCAAATGGCCAAATGGAATTCGACAGCTTCACTGTGAGTCTGAAGTGCAATAACCATAAATACGGAAAAAAGGGATCGTCCGACTCATAGACAAACCAAACCAACAAAGGTCCGACTGCACCCCCCAAACATCTGGTGGATAGTAAATGCAGAAGTTGAGCGTTATTTTTTCACTAGATAAAATAAATTTAATAAAATCAAAATTAACCACTCTCTAGTTTTTTTGCTACCCATCATCGCTTTATAAACGTCGTTATAAAATCAAAATTCGACGAATGAACTCTTCAAAACCTTGTCCCGTTTCAGGGACAATGGGCAAAGAATTTTTATGGCTTTGTTTGTGTCGTTGGGTCTTCCCTATATTAACCCCAGATGTTTAAGGTGACCAGACGTTCCGATTTGATCGGAACTGTACCGATTTCAATACTCTAATAATTCCGATTTCAAATTTCGTCCAATAAATGTTCCGATTAAAACATTCGTTCCGTGAATGTTCCGATTTCTATAAATCTGATAAGAATAAAGATAAATCCTCGGATATATCACTAATTTTCATGAATAGTAATTTTATTTTGTGAAAAATTGGGAACAAAACTTGTATCGATACGGTTGTCAGCACTGTTTTAAATGTCAGCAGATGTCAGTACTGTTAGTATATTACAACTAAAAATTTTCAAAGCAGTTATATATCAGATTACGATGGAAATGGAAACTAATGTTCCGGTTTCGGACTTTTGAAATCTGGTCACCTTACAGATGTTCTATTTATAATTTGCCAAGCAGGTACTTACAAAATAACATTTCAAGTGAACAAGTTTACAGAAATAATTCTTAGAAATTATTACAATGAAAAAACTTGTCTTTGGTGTATTTCTAATAAAGCCGTTGTATTTTTCGCTCTGAATATAATTATTAATTAAGCATTACGAACTCACTGACGAAGGTCACTTTTTAAAGAATACGACGACCCACATCTAATTGACCATACAATCTTTAACAATAAATTTCAAATAATACCATAGTGGTTTTTTTAAATTTTGATAAGGTGTTGTAAAACTATTTCTGTTTCTGTCTTCATTCCAGGTGCTGTATTTACTTGGGCAAAAGATGCCGTACGTGGGATTTTAGGGGCGGAAACGTATACCTGCTTAAATACTGTAAATACAGTGGTGTCGAACGAAGACAACAACAGAAACATACCCGATGTATTGGGCAGGGCCTAAATTAATGTGCACTTCTACACATTTTGTGCAGTTCAAAAATGCATTTGTGCAGCTGGAAATTGCAATTTGTGCAGTAACTTTTTCACATTATTAATATTTTTACTTCCCGAGCGTAAGTTACTATTACTGACGCCGGTTCATCCCTTCACCGAAAAGAATCGAGGAATTTTTATGATTTTATTTGTCAAGTTGGAACCTCAAGAAACCCCAGATGTGCTATTTTCGCTCTGTCACGTACCTGCTTAACAATAACACTTGTCTCAGTGATTTCGAAAAATTGCACAACAAAAATTTTATCAGTCGTACTTGCGGAGTCGTACTGCCTTCACAGCTCTTATCACTTTGGTTTTTTCTTGCATTGGTAATGCGCTGTTTCTAATTTTCTTTTGTGCTATGACAAGTATTATTTACATTATTATTGGCGCCATCACAAATTTTTTATTGATCCAATTAAGAACGTGTCACCCCATTTTCTTAAAAATATGAGAATACGCAAGTCTTTATTTAAAAATGACAAAATAAGAATTATAATAATAAAATTCAGAACATTTTGTTCGATTGTGGCTTAATTAATTATTTTAGTCTTCTGTTTTGGGAAGACAACACACAAACTTTTGTGATGTACCTTTAAATAGTGATATATGTATGTATTAATCGTGTCGGTATTATGCCTTTTTTAGATTTTTGTTTATATCTTTACAATATATTTATTTTGAATTTGCGTTTCGCTATTATTTATTAATTATTATTAATGTTGTAGGTATTCTCACAAAATCGACAAAATCATACTGCACTTTAATAGGGGGGAGGGGGGAGAGGTGTAAAAGTACTATTAAGAACACAAGGGGGATTATTGCGATTGTGCAGTTGGCAATTTTCCTTAATTTAGGCGCAGGTATTGGTTATTATTAGAGAGCGGATTTTATGAAATTTGCATATCCGTTATTTTTTGCATATAAGTCTTGATATTTAATATGTGAACGAATCATGCTAATTGAAAATGAATGCAGCTATAAAAAATTGCATATTTGCATATATTTGCCTTCTGCTGCATATTTCACATACCGGGTGCATATTTTGCATTTTTATCAATTTTTGTGCTACTTTGAAAAAAAAATGCCATTCGATCGGCATTTTTCTAGAAAAACGAAACTTCATGAATCATATTGCAAATATTGTCCTGAGCTTCAAATAACTGGGTTTGGGTTTTATGGTAGTTTGGAGGAACCACTGGGTGTTAAGCCATCCTTCCAGGTAAATTCGGGTCCTAATTACTTTTGGAAATACCGTTCATTTCAATATTTTTGTTCGTTACTTAAGTGTATTAATGGTATGTTTTATGGTGGTCGAAGGGACGTTATCCTATTATTTTTCATCGTGAGTTTGCATTTAAGTATTCAAAGCGATAGAGATGTGTGTCAATATGTAGATAACTCAATTTAACTTAATTTTCCCCTCCTCACATGTAAACAAAACATTCGCACACGTTTGACATGCCGCGTAACAGTGACTTTACGCACCAAATATCAATTTACCGTCGCTTTACCGCCTTTGGGCGCCAAAGTAACTCAATATGCATTAGCCTCTAGAAGCTCTACTAAAAAAAGTTCTGTATAAATAATAAAAGAAAACATACTAGAACACTACTTTACATAATGTTTTGTTGAATCAAAACTTTTGAATTAGAAAAAATAAATAATTTAAAAAAAAATCACGTGGCGCCATCTCGTGGTTGTCGGTATTATAGATTCCTTCAGTAAACGTCAAGTCTCGAAAATGTCACTTCATTTCTTGCCATTTCGGAAAATATTTTTAAAATGAAATATTTTTTTAAATAAACTCAATGTCGGGGAAAAAATTGAATACAATTTTCGTACGTTAGGCATTTTGCAGGTTTCGGTCCCATTACGACCTCAACCTGCAAAATGTTACCTACCGCACTCATAATGTAAATAACTATTATGAATTAAACCTTTTCCTGAACTTATTCTTCAAGAAGGAATTGTGTTTTGTTGTGCCTGCTCTAATCCGATAAGTATTTTTACATCTGTGGACGCAGTACGCAGTTTTTTTATTTACAAATACATACTTTAGAATCACCGGAAAAATTTTTGTTAGAATATTTCGAAAAATATTTAAAAATAAATTGTTACCAAAATAGTAATTAAATAGTCGATTACTACTATTTTTTAATTCGTTCTGTTTACCTATATTTATTTTTGAGTATAAGAATATTATCTTAAAAATGTCATTTATTTGTCAGTGAGATCTAATTAAACACTTTGCAATGTGATTTATGTATTTTTTGTAATAAAAGTTAAGGTGTTTTTGCAATTTGTAAATAAATTTAGTTCGGTTATTACGCTTTTTTTAAATTTTTTGAGCATGTGCAACTGCATATCTCTGCATATATTAAGAAAGTTATTGCATATTTGCATAAATTTGATGCATGCCATATGATCATATTTCCCAAAATTTTGCTGCATATTTTCCGCTCTCTAGTTATTATACATACACTCTATTACCGACATTAAAAAAAGTCTACACTATTTCGTCATATCTGCTGCTTTATTATCAGTTTTCAGTTAGTTACATATTGGATATGAAATTAAGTGAATTTTTTGAATAAATAATAATTTAAAGATCAACCACAAAAATACTCAATTATAATTATACATTATACATTACCAGTTTATTTTAGAGCCCAAGATTACATTGGAAAAATCTAAACTTTTGAAAATTTAATGTTAAACAGATATACCTATAACTGAGTGCGAAAGTCAATACACAAAACTCGATGATCAATTATTGTTTTGTATTCAAATTATTATTTATTTTCCTTACGATCAAAGTGAAGAAATTATTTAATTCATTTTTATTTAAGAACGATATCGCTGACCTTGAAATAGATTGGTTTTTAATTTCGATTTTTTTCTTTTTGTTGCTTTTGTTGCCGATCAACATATTTTGCATTGGAATTAATAAAATAATGAAATATATCATTTTATTTTTCGAGGTCATTTCAAAATTCTGTATATGTATAATTGTTCCTTTTTGGCAGTGACGCATAGGCAGAGGTTAAAAAATAATGTCTCATTACTAGTCTTAATTCGTATTACCTGTTAGATGGGACATTTTTTAATTCTGATCATAAACTATGTGCATTAAGTCTCTTGTTCTGTTTTATAAAGCGCAGGTCGTTATGCACATATAAAAATAAAATTATAAATAAATATAATTACAGGGAATATAATATGAAAAAAAAAATTAAGAGCAACTCACTATTGGCGTCATCTCGCTTGTGCAAGATTTAAGACAGGGAAGAAATTTCTTTTTTTAAGACTCAGCATCTTTTGTTATGAATATACTATTTACTTGCAACACAAACGTAAATAATAAATATAAAATAGAGCTATATAATACTCGATATGTATGTTTTTAAATGTTTTTTGCTGTTGCCCTGTCAGAAACGTTAATTTTAGATTTAACATGCCATTTTGTAAAATCAACTGAAAAACACTTTGCATAATTAACTAATAAAAATAAAACATTCCGAAGCATGTATATATATATATATTAATCAGATATCT